TTTTTTTTTTTTTTTTTCCTGTATGAGGGATCAAACTCAGGACCTTTCGCTTGTGAGGTAGGTGTGGTTCCACTGACCTAAATCCCTGGCCCTGAGTGATTCTTGATTTTAAAAAACCAGGCATGTCCAAATGAGTCTAAAAGAGTTATTTCAATGAGGATAAATTTTACTTTTTTTTTTTTTGGTACCAGGGATCAAACTCAGGACTTTGCATTTGCAAAGCAGGCAGCAGAACCACTGAGCTAAATCCCCAGCCAGGTTAAATTTTAAATAAAATTTAAATTTAAAGAAAGCATTGAGGTTAAGTCACCAACATGTCTTCTTTCTTAGTTGTACATAAAATTATCTAACAGTGGTTGTTGTGTGGAGTTGATAAAACACACTAAAAGAATTGAGTGTGTACCCTCATTTGCTTAACTTTTACTCCAGTAATACTTAATCTTTTAACCTTCTTTCCCTTGTTTGGGACTCTACTTTTATCATCACTTGTTATTTGTAGCAATAACCACTATGCAACCTTTACCTGCATTCATCATTTACAATTCATGAAACATATACTTAGGTAATAAGTTCCCGCGGTTTGTAAGTTGGAAGGTACAAAGAGTACACAGGGAAAATTCCCCCACTCCCTGGGAGCAACCAATGTTATTAATTTTTAAATACATATACATACATATATATATATATATATACATACATATATATATACATATATATATTCTCCTCCCCTTTTTATAATGCTCCTGGTAGCATCCTCTGTACACTGCTGTCCTTGATCTTTACTGGGTGCTCTTGTGTACATTATATACATTTAAATGCCGCACAGCAGTGCTGGCAAACTGCCAGGCAGTTGTAATGACAGCTTTAGGTAGTTATACTACATATATATATATATATATATATATATACATACATATATATATACATATATATATTCTCCTCCCCTTTTTATAATGCTCCTGGTAGCATCCTCTGTACACTGCTGTCCTTGATCTTTACTGGGTGCTCTTGTGTACATTATATACATTTAAATGCCGCACAGCAGTGCTGGCAAACTGCCAGGCAGTTGTAATGACAGCTTTACAGGTAGTTATACTGAGATGTGAAGCGGGTGAAAGTGGGTTTGCCAGTGCTGGAGCTGGGATTCTGACCTGAGTCTTCCAGGACTATGAAGTAAGCACAGCAGTATGGAATGTAAGTTGACTAGTTTTTTCCAAGACACGCCATTCTTCCTTAAAATGCCTGTTAGCATTCTGTTAGGGTTTATAGATGTCCTGCCAAAGCCTCATACACTCATAGGTGGGGCTTTTGGGAGCTGAATGGATCATGAGGGTGCTATACCCATTGGTGGATTAATCTGCTGATGAGTTTATAAGAGGTGTGGACTGGCCAGAAGAGAGGACAACTGGGGGGCCTATCCCTGAAGGAGTTGTCTCCCTCCCCACTCCTCTCCTTCCTTGCTGCCATAAGGTAAGTAGCTTTCCTTGCCAGACCCTTCTACTATGCCTTCTACTTCTGCTTGGAACCGGCCAATCATGCAAGGACTGAAACTTCTAAAACATGAGCCAAAAAAAAAAAAAAAAAAAAGTGAGCTAAAACAAACCTCTCATCCTTTAAGCTATGGTGCCAGGTATTGTATCCCAGCAATGAGAAAGCAACTAAGATGTATTCTAAACCCCTGGGTGCTGGTTGGAGCCTACCAATGGGGACCTGCTTCTGGCCTTTCAAGAGTAAGTTTTAGTGACTTTATCAAACCCCTAAGAGAAGGACATGGATTCTGGGTATATGGTATGCAAAAGCATGGAGATGTAGGGAAATCTTGCAAGCTGGAGCGGACTGGTCTGTACTGTTGGCCTTCTGTGACACCCGTAGTTCATTTGGTCTCTGCAGGATTTGCTTTGAGTCCCGTCTAGGAGGTCCCTCCCTCGTGCGGCAGCATGTGGATGTGAGCACGTCCCTGCAGAGTGATGGTGGGGGAGGGCACAGCGTAGTGTACGCAGAAAGGTTCTGGATCTCTTGCACTTCAGAGTGTGTCCTCTTGTCCCCTTGCACAGCCTCTGTTGTTCCTAAGTTCTCTCTGTGACAACTAGTAATGCTGCTTACTGAGTGCTTACCAAGTATAGTCCACTTTACATGTGAGGAAGTGGTCAGGTACACTAAACACTAGCTGAGAACTGACCAGTGTGTCCTAGTACTTAGAAATCAACTCACAGGCAGCTGAGCGTAGCAGTACATTCCTGTAATCCCAGCTGCTCAGGAAGCTGAAGAAGGAAGATCACAGATTCAAGGCCAGTCTGGTCAACATAGCAAGACTGTTAAAATGAAAAATATTTAAAAGGTCTGGGAATGTAGCTCAGCATGAGAAGACTGGCCTAGCACACACAAGGCCCTGGACTCAGTTCCCAATACTAGAAAAAGAGAAAAGATGAACTCTCAGTAGTGTTTGGCAGCCTCTATGGCATTAATACTCTCACCGTGCTGATTAGAGGGAAATGAGCTTGGCATGGTAGCGCACACTCTAATTCTAGCACTCAGTAGGCTGAGGCAGGAGGGTTGCTTTGAGTTCAAAGCTGTCCTGGGTTACATGGAGAGTTCAAGGCCAGCCTGAAATGCATAACAAGATCCTGTCTCAAAACAAAACAATAAATTTGGAGGAAAGTCGGATAAGTAGACAGAGACCGGGGGTTGCTAGTGTGGTTAGTATGCTACACACATGCCTGTGTGGAGGGTGTTTGTGGATGAGTGTATTAGACTTGGTTCAGGTAAGGAGGGTTGTTGTCAGCCAGCTGTGAGCTTTGTGCACCTACTGGATTCTCGATTTGCCATTTCCTGAGAGTTTTCTAACACAGGATACTCCTCCTTCCTTGCTTTAAAAACCTCTGTGGAAATCCCAGGAAGTTTACCAGGGTTTGGAACCAGGGGAGAATATGCAGTATTAGGAAACATTCTCATATGTGCAAAGTGATCTTTGAGAATCGCTGCCCCAAATCTGAGGTCTTCAGCCTCCTGCCAGGCCAAGGTTACTTTTAGGGCTTGTGGGCAGGATTAGTGTCCCATAAAGGGAATCTAGTTGTGTGTGATTCCTGACCCCAACGGTGCACTGATAGCAGTATTAGACTTGGGTTTGCGTGCCCTGGAATGCGACAGACCTCCATGCCAAACCTCCGTGATGGTGAGGGCTCCAGGAGGTGAGCAGCGTTTAATTGAGCACTTCCTGTGGGCCAAGTGCTTCCACCCATTCATTCCTAGCCCAGAGCCAGCACCTGGCCCCTGCCCTGCTCCTGCAGGCACTCTTGGGGCCCTTTCCTCCTAAGTCCATGGGAGAATAGTGTCTTCCCCCTGAGCACTTTGGCAACCAGGCCTGGGGTGAGCATATCTACCTGTGACCTTGTAATAGTGGATAGGTGACCTCGCCCCTTTACCTTTCAGTATCCTACTTTATAAAAGGAAAAGGATACTATCTACTTCACTGGGATCTTCACAGCCACAGTAGACCAGGCACTGGCCATGTTTCTACCACCTCCACGAGTCCTCCCACAAGAACTCAGTATGGCAAGGGGCTGAGGTACAGACTGGCACCAGCTGTACCCCAGCCTGACCCACTGTCTCGTGTTTTAGGAACTAACCGACTTGCAGCGGGATCCTCCCGCCCAGTGCTCCGCAGGACCTGTGGGTGATGATTGTAAGTATTCAGCGGGTGGGAGCTTCCGATTGTAGGAGCCTTGCAATTAAAGCCCCAAATTTATCTGCCAAGTAGTTAAAACCAGTCCATGCTTTCCATTCACTTGCTCATGCACTGCTTTTCCATGGAGCTGTGAGTTCCCCTCAGCTGCTCAGGTTACACTCAGAATGGAACCTGTGAGAAATCACCCCACACTCTGAGCTGTGAGAAAGCTAGCTGGACCCTGCTCGTGTCAGCTCAGGACAGTGTGTCCACCCTAGGCAGGTTTGGGGCACTACCGTGGACGCCTTTGAGCAGCTGGTTGTGGAGGACTGTACCTGGGAGCCGAGTGGAGGGCAGCAGCTGATGTCTGTGCCTGGGGAAGGACAGTACTGGCTCTTTCTTCCCACATCTGCACTCCATCCAGGGAGATGAGGAAGCAGCTATAGGCACCTGCTCGCGAGAGGGCTAGAGAGAGAAGTGGCCAGACCAGCCTGCCCCTCCATAGCCAGCAGGCCAGAGCCTGAGTGCACAGCCCTGCTCTCCAAGCCTTACCCTGCTTACCCGCCTCCCCTCACTCGTGGGCTGGCTGGGCTTCGGCACAGCTTATGTATTGTGAGGCTGCAGCTGTTGGAAAACCATGTGTGGTGCCTGTGCGTGCCAAAGAGCTGAGAACAGACTCGAACAGAATTCGGATGCCAATGTTTATAGCACCATTATCTACTAGTCGGAAGGTGCTAACAACCCAGAGCCCTGAAGCAGATGAGTGGATAAAAGTGTGGCCCAGCAGGCACCACAGTATGGATGAACCTTGAAAGCATGCTCAATTTAGTAAATAAGTGGAGAAATTACAAATATTGTATAGCCTGTTCAACAGACATCTACATGAAGAGAATTCAGAGAGACAGAAAGTAGATGAGGGGTTACCAGAGGCTCAGGAAGTAGATTTAGGAAGTGATTGTTTCATAGGCACAGAACTTCTGTTAGGGGGATGCAAAAGCTTTAGAAATGACCTGGGTCCATCCCTAGTGTGCACATGCACACACACGAAAGACACACAAATAATGGCACGCACTGGTTATGCAACATTGTACATGCCGATGAGGTGACTGCATGGCACACTTCAGAGTTGTGTGAATGGCACGTTTTTATTCTAGTGAAGGAGAGAGGAGTGGTTGCCCATGTGTGCAGCATGTCCTGGGAGGAGCCAAGGTGGGCAGATGGAGCTACTGAAAGTGGAGGTTCTGACAGCTTTTTGTGGGAGTTAGAATCCCATTTTTGGAGAAGAACAGAAATGACTCAGTTGTATGTGCAGAGTGTGCACAGAGTCACTAACTCCATGCCCTCCTGGTACCTCTCCTTGCTTGCCGTCTGTTGTGCCAGAAGGCCATGGAGTCAGTCGTCCTCTTTCCTCCTGCCTGCCCTCCAGCTCTGCTCAGCACCCTACAGCTCTCAGTGTTAGCATGAATGAGACCAGAGGATCCCAACCTGCTCACCAGGAAAGGTCTACTTTTGTTACCTGCCCACTTGGTGTGGGCTCCTATTCCAAAATATTATCAAAAACACTCCTGCGGGCTGGAGATTTAGCTCAGTGGCACCGCACCTGTCTCACAAGCCCAAGCTCCTGAGTTCGATCCCCGGTATCAAAAACAAAAACAAAAGAACTCCTAGTTTTTGTTTTTTTGAGACAGTCTTTCTGTGTAGTTCAGGCTGGCCTTGAGCCATGTAACCTAGGCTGGCCTCAAACTTGTGATGCTACTGCCTCAGCCTCCTAAGTGCTGGGATTACAGGTGCTCACCAACACACCTGGCTCAATACTTCCATTGGAGCCCCAGTAAAGCCACCAAGTATTGAAGCTCAGGTGAGCAACCCTGGGCAGCACCTGTGTTGTCTCACTTGGATGCTGAGAGAGGAAGCAGGTCCTGGCCTCATGGAGAGAGGAATGCAAGTCCTGCACCCAGACCCCGCCTGATGGCAGCATGTGCAGTTTTCCTGTCACAAACCATAATCCTGAGCACAGCCTCCAGAGAGCTCTGGAGTCCTGGCGAGTCTGGTATTGTAATCCCTAGATGTACAGACGATATCGGAAGTGAGGCAGTCTGTGGACACTGCTCTAAACTGCACAGCACCTAGGCACATTTTGTGGGGTCTCTCACACACCCATGTCTCTTTTGTCTTGCAGTGTTCCACTGGCAGGCCACCATCATGGGCCCGGTAGGTAATGTTACCGAGAGCACAGCTCGTTTGACTTCTTGTACCTCACGCTTAGCGTGAGCCCTAACCTCTTCCCGTGTCTCATCTTCCAGAATGACAGCCCTTACCAAGGAGGTGTCTTCTTCCTGACCATCCACTTTCCTACCGATTACCCGTTCAAGCCCCCAAAGGTGAGGCTCTCGTGGCTCCCCTAAAGTTCAGACAGAGGGACCTTATCAGGTTGCAGGTAAAGAGAGCTATGTGTGGGCCTTTCCTCAAAGGCCTGTCTTCCAGACTCTGTGTTAACAGCCTCCTAGGACATTGGTGTTTTCAGTTTTTGTTATTGTTGTTGTGTTTTTTGTTCTGTTTGTTCATTTTGGGTAAATTGGAGATTGAACTCAGAGCTCACATATACTAGATAAACACTCTACCACTGGGCTTTTCTACTGGCTTTTTCCCTGGCCCTTTCTTTTTTCTTTTCTTTCTGGTACTGGGAATTGAACTCAGGACCTTGTGCTTGCCAGGCAGGCACAGTGTCACTGAGCTACATCCCTGATTCTCTAATTTTTGTTTTGAAACAGTCTCCCATACTGACTTCAAACTTGAAATCCTCCTGCCTCAGCCTCCTAAGTCGCTGGGATTACAGGTAGTGCCACCATGCCCAGCCTCCTAGGACTTTAAACTCTGTATTTTCAGAGTTGATCCCTGTTGTAAGCAAGGGAACAGGCTCCTTCCTAAAGTCACCATTTGAAGGATGCTTTTGTTCCAAGAAAACCTGTTGTAAAAGAACAGACCACCATAGGCAAAAGGCAGAAAGAGGCTGAAGAAAGAAGCAGATACATCTAGGATTTCCGAGTGCAATCTTTCCTGAGGATTTAGGGACAGAAGCACAGTCAAGGATGGCAGGAAGACTGGTGGATTCACAAAAGTTGAGTCAGAGGGAGGGGGCTCAGAAGTGGTCAGGAGGTGGTTTTTCTCCAAGTCCAAATGTGCCTGACTTATCTCAGGCTAATGTTAAAGATCCCAGGCACATTCTTTGTGCTGATGGTATCCAGGTCCAGCTGTAGAACCCCACACACTACTGTAATGGTTGTTCCAGATGGATCTGGGGTATCTCCCGACACACCTGTGCAGAAAGCTTGGTCCTCAGCCAGTTGCGCTATCGGGAAATGTTAGAAATTTTGGTGACTCTCTGGGGTGTATCTTATCCCTGGCTCCCTGTTCTTGGGCTCTCTTGCGCGCTCTCCCTCTCTCTCTCTCTCTCTCTCTCTCTCTCTCTCTCTGCTTTCTGGCTGCCATGAAATAGCAGCTTTGCCCTGCCACACCCTCCCACCATTACATTTCTGCCTTACCACCGGCCTTAAAAGAAGTGGAGTCATCTGACAATAGACTGAAACCTTGCAAAGTGTGAGCCAAATAAATCTTGCCTGCAGGGCATGGTGGTGCACACCTGTTATCCCAGCACTCTGGGAGGCTAGGGCAGCAGGATCACAAGTTCAAACCCACCCCAGGCAACTCAGCAACTTAGCAGAGACCCTGTCTTAAAATAAAAAGGGCTAAGGATGTAGCTCAGTGTAAAGATCCTAGTTTGAATCCCCAGTACTACAAACCAGTCAATCTTTCTTCCTTTTAAGTTGTTTGTGTCAGGTATTTTGTTGCTGAAGGACACAGTGGTTCTTTGTTTAGTATTTGCTTTAGTATGCTAGGAAATTGGGGAGAGCAGACCAGGGTTACGCAAGGGCAGTCATAGTAGTTCCAACCGCCGCTGGCTGCAGGTGAGTTCATCTGGATGGCTGCAGTGCACCTCATCCCTGGGGTGAGCCAGTCAGGTCTGCAGGCTCTGGTTTTCTTCTCTGCAGTCCCCAACTTACTGTCTAGGATGGGCTTCTGGGCTGAGGTGGTTTTGTTTATGCCTGAGGACAGTTGATGATATCCTGGGATACTTTGGGTTGTCAAAACTAGGGAGTGGAGGTGCTGCAGTTCCTTGTGAAGGAAGTGCCGTGCTGCTCAGCCCAAGGATGCCGAGGTAGCCACCTGGCTCAGGACCTTGACAGATCAGTTGCCTTCTTCAGTTAAAAGGGTAGCAGATAGTGCTGCTATCTGGGCAGCAGCTGGGGCTCAGTGGTAGGCCCTTGCCTCACATGAAGAAGTCCCTGGGTTCAATTCACAGCACTGCCAAGCATGGTGGGGGGGAGTAGTTGGCTTCGTTTGCCCTTCGCACATGTGTGGCTCCCTTGGTGGGGCCTGAGCATAGGGCCATTAACAGGAGGGAGGAGCCTGGGATGCTGCCTGGCTGCCTGGCCTGCCTGGAGAGAGCTGGAACACCAGCAGAGGACTAGAACGTGCCTTCAGCAGCTTATCTCGCTGCTAGACACTGTGCCTCCAGGGCTGCCCATGCTTGCCTGGGCTGCATGTGCGGAGTGGAGCCTGCCCTCTTGCAGTGCACAGTCCTGTGGAGGCCCAGCACACTCAGTGTGCAAGGAGCTTAGGGCTGAGAAGCTTCACAGACCCAGACCAGAGCCAGGTGGCCCAGATCACCCAGGTGAGGTGCTGCACGGGGTCTGCAGGGATGGGAGCCCAGCATCCCAGGGGGAGGGGAGCCAGAGGTGGGTCTGAGGAGCAGGGTCTGTGTGGGCTCCGGCTAGGGGCTGACTGGACCCACCCCCCACTGTGTGAGAAGCAGCTGGTGAAGGGCCCCAGCAGAGCCTGCAGAGGCAGGAAGAGGAGGTGGACTCAGTCGTTGACGTGGAACCAGAGGACCAGCTCCTATCAGCTATGGTCACGCACGATGTGTGCACAGTTTATATCGCTTCAACAGCTTTTTTTTTCCTGATTGCAAAACTGGTTAAAAGTTCATCATTTTTAAATTAGAGAACTGGTATGCAGATGGAAGGCAATTTCCTGTAGACACAGAAAAACCACAGCTAACAGCCCAGTATACTTGCCTCCAGATTTTTTTCTGCATACAGCAGTATATATTTTTATTCTCATTTTTAAAACAATATCAGTTTGGAGCCAGGGACAGTGGCACATGCCCTATAATGCTAACACTCTGGAGGCTGAGAAAGGAGGTTGGGCAACTTAGGGAGGCCCTGTCTCAAAATAAAAAATAAAAGAAATGGGAAACAACAAAAAATAGAATTCTCTTTTATGAATAAGGAAACTGACACGTAGAGAGGTTATGTTGTTTTCATAAGGCGTGGTTCACACACCACAGAGGGACTCAGACCCAGATGTGTCAGCCTTTAAAAACAAAATGAAACAAAAAACTTCTTGTTTGGAATTAATTTTAGACTTAGAAAAAAATTGCAAGGGCTGGGGTATAGCTCCATGACAGAACATCTGCTTAGTATGTGAGAGGCCCTGAATTCAACCTCCAGTACCTCCCCCAGAAAAAAACCTGCAAAACAGCATGAAGAGCTGCCATACACTTCTTACCTAGTTCTCCCTGGTGTCACCATCCTATGCTACTGTACTGCCATGATCAAAACCAAGAAATGGATGTTGGTCCTGATTCTGTGAACTACACTGAAGCCTAGGTCAGACTTCAGCAGTTTCTGCCAGTGTCCGTTCGTGCTCCAGCACCCACTACTCAGTCTCTGTCCAGCCCTCTCCAGGACTGCAGTCTGTAATGCATTTCCTTTCCCATGGTCCATGGCATCGATGCTTTTGAGGAGTGTTATTGATTGTGCTGCCAGCCGGCCCTCATTATGGGTCTGTGTCGTGTTTTCTCAGAATTAAACCACGGTTATGCATTTTGATCACACTCATCCAGTAGTCCTGTGTCCAGTCCCAGTCAGGTGTGATGTCACTGTGCTTTATCACCTGTGCAGGCCTCTGTGACTTGATGGGTGACTAGCCGCTATTTCGCAGTTTGAGCCAGTGTGAGGAGGCCCCTTCTGGACTCTGGTCACAGCACTGTGCAGATGTTGACACTTGGTCCTGAATTTTTTAATGGAATTCAAACATGTTTATTATTCTGGAGAAAGTCTCCAGCTTTTGGCAAGGGAGCGGGGTGTGCTGGGCAGAGCAGTGACAGATGCTAGAGTTGCTCCACTGGACCAGGATACAACTGCTGTGGTGGAGGGGGTTGGTTGAAAGGTTTCTCTGTTCCACCCTCCACTCCCCTTGCCCCAGGAAGAGATAGCACAGTGTCTTTAAGGCAGCAGTTTCCCAGCTTATTGCTCCATCATCCTGTGAGTGGCTGGGGCTCTTCCTTAAGCAGATACTGATGTTGTCCGGTATGGCCATCTGTTGGGCATTTTTAGGATCCCTAATTGCCCAAGGACAAAGTGAAAACAATAGCTATTATCGAAGACTGAGAAGTAAGCTCTGTGAGGTGGGATTACTTTAATCAGGAAAAACATGAGCCAAAGGATGAGTGATACTTTTATTAGAGAAGAAAATGTTTTGTGTCTTTTTAAAATCTTCTGTAGAGGAGTAAGTTAAACTTGTGATTTGAGGAGGAATCTGGCAAGACTGTGTGATAGGTCTGTTTTCTGTATCCCCAACCGTTTTTATATTTTGATTTCAGACATATTCTCACTAAGTCATCTAGGCTGCCCTCAAACTTGTGATTATCCTGTCTTAGGAAGTTTGAGGCCAACCTGGGCTTCACAGTGAGTTCAAGGCCAGTCTGAACTACATAGTGACACCCTGTCTCAAAAAACAAACAAACAGAAGGACAAACTAAACAAAAAACAACTTTGTGATCCTCCTGCCTCAGCCTCCCAAGTAGCTGGAATTGTACAGGCATGTACCAGTGCTACCAGAAAGCCTGGGTGATGTTTATAGGAGACATTGAGGCAGATACTTACTGCCTGAGACTCTCTGAGGTTTGACTCTTCCTGGGAAAAATATTGTGAAAGCCATGCAAGCGCATATATTCATAGCCCTCTTAACTTCATATTCTAAAGTGAGTTCTGTTTTTAAAACTACCTTAGGGGCTAAAGGTATAGCTCCTAGTAAGACACTTAACATGGGTGAATCCCTGGGTTCAATTCCCAGCACCCAAAAACCTATTATGATTTATATTAAGCATACAAAAAACGACAAATAATGACATCAAAGGCCACACGCTCTCCGGCCAGTGCAGACATGGTGATGAGCACTCAGAGTGGGGAAAGAGGCAGGGGTTCCTGCTGCATGCCCACCCAGCTCAGTGTTGAGGTGCTGCTGGCTGGTGGGACGTGGGTGGGGCTGAGCTTGATTTGCATCCCCTGGGACAAGGAAACCTGCAAGTCATCAGGTGCCTGATTCCATGGTCCCATGCCAGCCCTGGGAGTCCCACCATGCCCCTGGTTTTGTTTGCTTTTTTCTTTGGGATTTTTGTTTCACCTTGGCGGTGGCGGGGTGGGAGTGTTTTGTTTTGTTTTTGTGGTATATAACCTTTGTACTGAGCTACACCACACACATACACACACCCCCGGTACCAGGGATCAAACTCAGGACCTTGCACTTGCCTGACAGGCATGGCACCACTGAGCTAAATCATCTTTTGTTCTTTATTTTGAGATAGGGTCTTGCTAATTGCCATGTTGCACAGGGTGGCCTCCAATTTGTGATCCTCTCACTTCAGCCTCCCAAGTAGCTGGTATTTCACATGTGCTCCATTGCAACTGGCTCGTTTTCGTTGTTTGAGCAGTCTCACTATTGCCCAGGCTGTTCTTGAACTCCTAAGCTCAAGTGATCCTCCTGCCTCAGCCTCTCAAATAGCTAGGGTGCAGGTGTGCACCGCCGTGTCTGGTTTATCACATCCCTGTTTAAAGCAAAAACTCTGAGCTCCAGGGAGGTCATCTCAAGAAGTGATGTGTAGCTGTGGTTAAAAAGAGGCAAATGGTGGGAGAGTGCATTGGACCTAGGACCTTTGTCACTGAGTCTAGATGCTGCTTTTCTCTCTCATGTGTTGTGTACACCTGCACATGCATCTGCATGCGCTCCCTTGCTCCATTGAAAGGAACACACTTTACCATGATGCTGTGTCTTGCTTTCCTGTCAGCAGTATATCTTGGAAATTGCTCCCTAATTGCACATGATGTTTCACCGTGTTCTTTTTAAACAGTTGTGTATATGAAATTGTAATTTCACCAGTAGTCTCTTGGGAGGCATTGGGTTATTTCATAGCTTTTGCTACGAAGGATATCCATATGTATTTGAAAGGTACAGGAGCAATTGATGGCTGAATTCTGAAAAGGGGTGTCTTGCAAAAGGTGAAGTAAGAGGGCTAGGGTGTGACTTAGTGGTAGCATACCTGTCTGTTACCATGAGGTACTGTGTTCAGCACCCAGCATCACACACACAAAGGTGAGAGCAGGGATTCATGGCCTGGGCTTATCTGCTGGTGATGTGGCTTATATTTTCAGTCCAGCCACCACTGATGATAGCTGAAATAGGAAGTTTTGTCCAAGCAAGCCAGGCAAAAATTAGTAGTGAAGCAGAGAATAAGGAATGAATTTAACCTGACTGTTTTCTGAATTTAACCTGTTTCTATTTCCTTATCCTATCTGTAATTAGAATCATTATTTTCTGCACAAACCTCCTGGGCTTCTGAGTTCTTCACATACCCTCTTTGCTGTGTTCAGAGCACACTGCTCTGGGGAAGATGATACCAATCCCTCACATATTCAGAATGAGGACCTAACAGGAAACAGATCAGAAGACTTGTGGGTGGCCCTTCTGGTGTCCTGTCAGGTTGAGGAAACGTTGATGCTCACCAGGACTTTGAGGGTTAGAGCATGGAGCACATGGTATAGCCCAGCAGTGGCTGCTTCCCTTCACTTGCTGGCTGTTTAGATGTTTCTATGGCTTGTCTGACTCAGCTCTCTTGTCTCTGCAGGTTGCTTTCACAACCAAAATCTATCACCCCAATATCAACAGCAGTGGCAGCATCTGCCTGGACATCCTGCGGTCACAGTGGTCTCCAGCACTGACTGTGTCCAAAGGTAGAGACCCTGGCACGTGCTCCACATGGCATCTTCCATGTTTTTACTTCCTCGCTGACTGGGTGGACATGGAGACTCAGGGAGAGCAGGAAGCTTCATCAGGTCGCACAGTCAGCCAGCCCTGTGCCCAGTGGTGCCCCCACGCTGCGAGTGAGGACATCAGTGGAGCCCAGTGTCCTGCACCTTTGTGGTCCTCAGCATCCATTTGCTATGGGATGCCCTGAACTGCCACATGGACACAAAGAGGAAGTACTGTACCTACACTCTATATCTTAATATTAGAAAGGCAGCCAGGTGTGATGGCACACACCTGTAATCCCAGCTCTTTGAGAGGCTGAGGCAGGAGGATTCAGAATTTGATCCCAGACTGAGCAATTAACAACTTACTGAAACCCTGTCTTAGAATAAAAAATAAATAAAAATAGGGCTGGAGAAATGGCTCAGTACAAATGCCTTGGGTTTACTCCCCAAGTAAAATAAGGCAAAAAAATTTTTGGTTTTTAGCAAAGGACAAAATGTTTTTTCATTTGGCATAGAATGTACAATCAAAAGAGCTGAGATTTTGGGCAGTAGGGAAGATGGAGAGACACAGGAAGCCCATTTGGGGTAAGAAACTGTGTCTCTGACCCCTCCACCCTATACCTTTGTGAAGAAGAGCCAAAGGCCAGTGACTTCAGAAGGAGGGAATACATGCTGTGCTGGCGCTCATCATAGGGCAGGTCATTCCTGAGGGACAGGACACCACCTCCATCAGATGACAGCAGAACTATACTGGCAGAGCCTTTGGAAATCCTGTACCACACTTCCCCCATCCTGTGCCTATACACACTGAGGCTCAGAGAGGGAAGGGCACACATCCAAGAGGGGAGTCAGGACTGGACCCTGGGAGACTCAGCAGGATGCAGCCACAGGCCTGGACACACACAGGAGATATAGACAGGCAAGCAGGTGACCTGCAGAGAAACATCTATGGTTTGCAGGTAGTAGCCACTGTTCAGTGGTTCCCAACCTCAGTGAAAAATGGGTATGTGACAGCCAACAATTAACTAGGTGGTGGTCGTGAATCACAATTTTTTTTTTTTTTTTTTTTTTTTTTTTTGCTCTAAGTGGTAGAGCTTTCCTGCCATGAAGGGCAAATATTATACTGTCTTCTCTGTTCTTTCCTTTCCCATTCATTCAGCAAGGACCAACACAGACTGTGAGTCATCCCTGAAAGACACCCAGGGCCTGTCCCCAGGGCCTCACAGCTGATGTAGGAGCAGTGTCTCTGGGTGAGATTGAATAAACCAGGCTGAAGCAGAAAGTAGAAATGTAGACTGTTTTTTTGAAGCAGGGTCTCACTATTTAGCTCAGGCTGGCCTTATACTCTCTAAGTACCCCAGGCTGGCCTCGAACTCATGGCAATCCTCCTGCTTCAGCCTCCCAAGTGCTGGGATTGCAGGTGTACACCACATACCTGGCCAGAAATACAGATATTAACAAAAAGGAAAAAAGAAAAGAAATGCAGATATTCCTTCTGAACTAAGATGGGTTTAGTGTGAGCCATATATGCTCAAGTCTTGAATATAGAGAGTGCTGTAATCTGTCAGCTGAAAGTGGTGGAATAGTGAAAAAACTTAACCCAAAATATAAAGTAGAACATGAGGCAGTGCAGATGGCATCCCTGGGCAACCAGGAGAGGCCTCCAAAGCCCCTGGGGCAGCTGACAGGGGTGGTTTTGGAAGGCTAGAGGGACTGCAGCAGCAGATACGGAGAGCCTGGGGGACAGAGCCACTGCTCCTGCACTGTGAGGAAGTTCCTTGGGGCAGAGCAAGCTACACTGCACTGACACATCTGGATGCAGCCCAGCATCCTGCCAAGATTGCTCCTGAGTGGAACCTTGTGTACAGCAGCCTTAGGCCCAGAAGTGTAGCAGGGACAGTGTCACACTCTGCCAGCTTCCAGGGGCTGCGTGCAGTGGAGCCAGTGGAGCCAGGGCCTGTGCAGCCTTAGGTGCAGGACCGGGAATGGGAATAGAAAGTGGAGTGGCAGGGAGGGCCCTCCTATGGGGAGAAGGAAAGGGGGCTGGGCAGTGTGGTGGGGGGTGGTCCCCAGCCCAGAACAGCAGGGTGTCAAGTCTCTTAAGCAAAGGGGATCTGCCCCTTCCGCTTGTAGCTTTAACAGTAGAGAAACTGCTGGAGACTTCAGTGGATTCACTGAAGCCAGTTTGGAGTCATGGTGGGTCCAGAACAAAGCTGAAAGGACAGACCTCTCAAGTCCTTCTGCTCCTCACCCCGCCCTGAGGGATGACTCCTTTCATCCAGGGCCTTCATTGCCATGCCGAGTGTATATCCCGGGATATCCCACGGGAGCAGGAAAGCGCGCTGGCTTTGCAGTCAGTCATAGCCTCATTTCAGAATCTCATTTTTACCCTCACCCTGGATGCGTCCAGTTTGTGATCTTGGAATTCACTTGGATGCTCTGAACTCCTGTCTCTTACCAGCAAAAAGGGCCGTTGGGACCAAAGCTGTGTGGTGTGGGGCTCAGCAGAGACTGGATCTGCAGGGGCTTCGGTGAGAAGGGGGAGTTAAGGGCTGGGACCACACTGGAGCAGTGTGCTGGGATCCCACTGTGAGGCCAACAGTGCAAACCGCCCTCCAGCTAGTGTGTGGGCAGGGCAAATTCAGGACTGGAGCAGAACCATCAGATAGGTGGACAGAAAGCGCAAGTGTGCAAAAGTTCGCCAGACCCAGGGGTGGCCTGCAGCCTCATGGCCACAGCTGACTGACTCTTTCTTTCCTCCCCAGTTCTCTTGTCCATCTGCTCTCTGCTCTGCGACCCCAACCCTGATGACCCTCTGGTGCCAGAAATAGCCCACACCTACAAGGCCGACAGAGAGAAGTACGCCTACCCTTTGGGTTGCTTTGTGCCATGACTACCCAGGTTCCCACGAACATCTTCCTGCCCACACCTCACCCTTGTGCAGTGTGTGTCCCAGCCCGGCCTCCTGGCTCTTACTAATGTGTGCTTTGACTTGGAGGAGGGAGAGGGGATAAAAGCAGTTCACCCTCCTGGGTGGCTCATCAGATACCACTACTGAACCCTAAAATACCGTTGCAAGCCCTGCCCTCAGGACAGCAAAGCCAGTGGCCAAGAATGGACTCAGAAGAATCTGACAAGTAAATTCTGGATTAAACTCTCAAATTTATGGTATAATATGAGGGATTTTCTGCTTTCACAGACCTAGAGTGAGGCTGAAATCAGTCAAGGAGGCGCACACTGCTTGGTCAGCTTGCTGGTGTGGTCAGAAGTGAACAGAGCTGCTGTCTCGAGCAGACCTGCACTGCTGCTCTTGGTTTGAACACTGATCTCCAGCCCCGGAAGCATAGAACTCCGACTCCCTTAGCATGTCCACATGCACTGAGGCCTGGGGGTGTTGGCTGAGCAGGTGCAGTGGATATCAGCATGTGTCGGTCTCTGAGTGTTAACAGCATAGGGAAAAGGGGCCAGGTGTGGCAGAGCTAGGCAGCAGGAGTAGCAGCCCTATGAGTGGTACCAGAGAGAGTATGGCTGGCTCTCGCAGGAATGACTGGAGTGAGTCTTTTGGGAGGAGGTACTGGGATTCAAACTCGGATCCTTGAGCTTATAAGGCAGTAGCACCACTGAGCTAAATCCCCAGCTGAAGTGAGTCTTTTATTTGTTTATTTATTTATTTGGTCCCAGGGATCAAACTTGGACCCTTGCACTTACCAGGCAGACGGCAGAACCACTGAGCCAAATCCTCACCTCTGGAGTGAGTCTTTTAGCTCATCACTTCTGCTTGAAGAGATTAAAGTGGAGTGTGGCTTTTCCAGCTTAAGTTTTTCTTGAGACCTTTATAGATCTTATTTCTGTCATTGAGGTTTTCTGGTAGCAGTTAAAAATAATTTAATTTGATTAGATTTTAAATTGTATTGTTTTCAACATTTGTTACAAATTATTTTATTACAAAGTGATTTTTTTTCAGTGCCTTCTCTACAAATTCCTGTCTCATTTACATTCCCACGGCCCCAGCTATCTTCACAGTGTGAGGGTAATACACACGCTGCCACAGCCCTCAGTGGGTGCCAGGCCTGCGACCTTGTGTGCCCTCCCCAGGTTGTCTGTGGTAAACAGGAGACAAGGCTACAGACAGGTGGCCCAGCTGCAGAGGCGGCGCTGGAGTGTGTGTGCTGAACAGCCTGGAACATTCCAAGCTGAACCTTCCTTCCTTCCTTCCTTGCACCCATACCGAAGACCAGTAGAGAGTGTGAAGGTTTGTTGCATTATTCCGTCTTCCACAGCACGTAGCCACAGAGGATCAGTGGGACTCACTGAGCAACGGGCTTGCAGCGGTGACCAAAGTGTTCCTGCTCCGAGGAGAGTTTCCTGGATGTCTGAGGAGCAGCGCATCTGCCCACATCAGTCATGCTGCTCCATGGTGCAGGGACACGGCCATTTCCAGTGAGGGTGTCACTCCCTCTGCTTTTTTCTTCTAGGTACAACAGACTAGCACAAGAGTGGACGCAGAAATATGCTATGTAAGTGCCTTGGAGGTTTTGCGGGACAAGCTTGCCTGCCAGGCCCATGCCTCCCTGTGAAGATGAGGCATCGGCTGCGCCACTCACTGAGCTTCATCCTTCTTCACAAGCTTTGGCCACCCCCTCTGGCTGCAGCATGTCGGTGCCATCGTGGCTTTGACAGTGTCACATCTTTGATGCCAAATCTGCAGCTATTGTTAACAATCTGCAGCCTTACAGTTACACTGAAACCAATCTGTGTGCCCCATGTCGTCTGCTCTCTTTGGAGGACAGGGTCCCACACGCCTCCCCTGTCAGCCTCTCGTCAGTGCCACACCACACTGTGGCACCAGGTGGGAGCCCAGCCAGGCCCCTCACCACTTGCCCTTTGCCTTTAGAACTCAGAGCTGTCCCGGGTGCCCAGAGCAGAATGGCTTCCTTCATATCCCGTCAGCCACAGAACCATGTCCTGAGGAGTCTGCCTGCATCCTGGAGGCTCCTGGGCATTGGGACAGGGTCACTGGAAGACAGAGGCCTCCTTCTGCAGCTTCTGCTGTCTTCCGCTGCCTTCCTCTGTGGGGCCACGTGGTGCATTACTCTCCTCACACAAAGAAGCAGCGAGTGGAAGATACCAGGATATAAAGTATATAACGCTCCATGAGAGATGACTGTCATTTTTAGAAGCAAGAGTAAAATTATGAAACCTGGAAAGATTTGGATGATTCTGTTCTATGTGATGAGAGTTCCCCCACCCCTACCTCCTCCTGCCAGGAATCTACACAAAGTCCAAGTGTAAGCCATTCACAGAGGAAAACACAAATAGCAGAAGAGACTTTCAAATGTAAATAAATGCAATTTCCTCAACTCAATACTAGTTGACATTTAAATATCCTTTTTTCTTTCAAGCAGACTGGAAGATACGGAGACTTAACAGGTTCTTCAGAGCCTTATTAGAGTAGTTCTTTGGGTGCCTGGCTTCTCCGCTTGGCTTTCTGCTAGAATATATTTCCAGGTTTTCCTGTAGAACTAAAAGCTTTAAGATTAGTTTAGCTCAGAAAAGGCAGGAGATTTCTAATAAAGCCTCCAAAGAGGGAGGAAAGGTGAGGGACTTTAAATCTCTAAAGCCAATTTCAACCTAGTCTGCTGAGTTGATTATAAAGCTGTTCCACTCCCAGGGAGTGGTTCTTTGGTGAGGCAGAGAAGAATAAAACTAGGCAACCAAAAGGCCAGGTACAGCCTTTACAAGTGAAGAAGAAAATCTACAGATCTAGCACTGGGGTTCAGCCAAGGTGACCCCAGGAGGTTGATTCCAGAAACTCCCAGGTCACAGCTGTGAACTTGTTTTGTTTTTCTTGATTTTGTTTTTTTGGTACCAGGGATTGAACTCAGTCCCTTGCGCTTGGGAAGCTGGCGGCATAACTACTGAGCCAAATCCCCGGTCCAGTCACAGCTGTGATTCTGAGGCTGCCATTCTGAGGCTGTCCATGTGTCACCGACACAGCAAAGGATGAAGCACAGTGAGCTCTTTGTGAAGGTTCCCGTCGACAATGCTCATAAGGCTTTCTGGGACTTTTGGCCTTGTTACTTCCTTTTCACTGTGAAGAGGATTGCTTTTAAACGCCCCCCCCCATCACCCGTAGTACATAGGAAGGCCCTTGCT